GATAGATAGATAGATAGATAGATAGATAGATAGATAGATAGATAGATAGATAGACAGATAACTTTTATTGTCATTTTTTTACTGTGAGCACACTGGCCCACATAAAAATTATTTTTTTTAATTTAAACACACACAAACACATCCTTTCATAACTGCCTTTAGATATTTGATGGACAGTACTGCTATATTTGGAGGGTATCAACTTAAGAGTTGATTTTTTCCCACTAATTCTTTCAGCCATCTACCTTCTCTTCATCAGCCTTTATATAATTCCCTGCTTTGAATATATCTGGCAGAAAAAGATGTTACCACATTAACATCATTTTTTTATGGAGAGATTAAAGAACTTTTGATATCAATTAAAATGATTTATCAACAAGTCTCTGGATTTTGTTTTTGTAACCTGATGCTTAATTGTGTAACTTTTCATACAATAATGTACCTTGAAGTACCCAAGTAACCATAGCTTGAGATAAACTAGGGGACCCCATACTTTTTGACAACAATGTCAGCAATCAAATGCAATCTTCTGATAGCATGACTTTCTTTTTTAGTTGTTATTTCATGTTGTGTTTCCTGTATGTGTTTTGAATGCCATGGAGCATCAAGTCCCTCAAAGAAATACCATAGAATCTGAAAGCTTTCCAGCTTCTTGGATTAATGTATTTATAATTTGCTTTCAATGCATGTTAAGTATCTGGCAGACTCCATCTGGGACCTGATTCAGCATTCCTCGTTCCCAGAGATTTTAACTACGTTGAAGTCATTGCTTCAGCAGCAGTTAATTCTCACAATGTCAGTAAGAAAACAATTTTGAATTAACTAGGTTCAGCATGGTGCATGAGTGGCACATATTATATTGTTGCACAATAATACCCACGTCCAAATAAAGTCAGCTTTCTCCTGGGCTGCCTAGTTCCCAGAATGTTAACAGCTGTGTATTTTAGCTCCTTTTCTATTTAATCTTTATGATATGGTACAAAAACTCACAAATCCAGAACATAATTTGGACAGGCAAACCTATTGTTTTAGTTTTATAGTCTGATGATGTAGTGATTATCACATCTTCACCTACTAAACCATGGAGGGCATTAAGCTCAACTATTTCCTATTGCCCTGATAATGACATATTTATTTTAAAAAATAAAAAAAATGTGTTTCTCAAAATGATTCCCCTAGATAGAAACATAGATGGTGAATTAGCAGTAATGTTATTTTATAGGTTCAGTCCTTTAAATATCTTGACATTTTTTTAAGGCTACAGGCACTCAAAAGGTCCAAATTGAATCTTTGTAAGAAAATGTAAAAAAAAGTGCAGCTTCCATCTTAAAAAGTCTATCACCACAGCAATAGTTGATTTTAAAAGGATTTAAGTTTGTTTAGATTTGGGGATGTGAATTTGGACATAGGCAATCCTAAACAGATTTCTGAGTGCTATTTCCCTTCTTTAATAAGTGTGTCCAGATACAGTGCAGAAAAGATGAAAAAAATGGTATGGAATTAATGAACGGAATTTTTGCTGCAGCTTCCACCACTGTGCCCAGTCTTTTTTTTTTTCCTTTCTTGTTTAGAGTTTTCATTTCTTTGAAATTCTTTTTTGTGATTTGGGTGAAGCCAAGAACTCCATCTCTCTGTAGCCTCCCTGCTGCTGATGCTTTTGATTTGAAAAAGCCCAAATGGGAGCAGTTCCCTCATGAAATTTTCTCTTTAAGTTAAATGGAAGTCTGAGAGGTTAAGAAAGCTGGAGACCATGAAGAGGAGATTGTACAAAGAAAGAATAGACACCTTCTAGCAGTCTTCAGCCACCCACTGCATCTAAAATAATTTCTTTGTGCTCCTTAAAAAGTGAAAGAAATCATTTCTGAAGCATGTACAACCTGGATGCCACTATTTGTCTATTTTTCCTGTCTGCCTACTCAAAGATCTTTATCTCATGTTCTATTGCATTGCAATAATGAACAGATTGCCTTTATTTTCTCCAGGCAAACTGAAGACTTCAGTAGCAAATCTCCCAGAATCAAAATGAACACAGGTATGCATTTTCATGGTGCAAAAAAAAATGAGCATATTGTTTAATGCAAGTTACAGATCTTTTGAATAACTTTTTGGTAATATTTTTGCTTTCTTATATGTGTGCATATGAAGTTCTGATGTGTATTTCTCTAGATACACTGTTATGTCTAAATATATGCATTTATACATGCATATGTAAATAAGCATCTGCATTTCATTTCAATATATTTTCAGATACTTAGTAAAATATATTGGGGCAAAGAACATATCCATGTAGTCTAACACAGTGGCATAAATCAAGAAAGCTTTATTTCTTTAATGGCAAACTATTTACTTTTGCAATGATTTAATTATTGCCTACTTATTTTGTTTAATTCATCTACTGGAGTATTTTACAAGTGTGTGAGTTAATATGCCTTACAGTATCGCATTTTGGAAAATTATATTTAATATCTCTTGAGCAGCATCATAGCCAAGTGGTGAAGATGTTTGCCTCCCATTCATAAGGTTGAGAGCTCAATCCTAGGCAGCAACAGATGTTTCACTCTCAGGGCACAAAGACAAAATAGTGCTGTGATATCCATGTAGACATCAGGAAGGGTATCTGGCCAGTAAATGTTCAGCTCCATTCAGTCGCCCAGACTCCGAATAAAGAGATTTACAGGGTCATGAAAAGAAAAGAAAAAATAAAACCTGTTAGGTAGCAATTTCTATGATGGCCACTGATGACCACATACATCTTTTTTTGATACCCATGTACCTTTATTGTAGACAGCATAAATTCTGCAACTTAAGTGAATAATAATGCAGTACAAACAATATCGAACATAATTTAATACTATAATGCAATGTTTCTCAACCTTGGCACCTTGAAGATGCATGGACCAACTCCCAGAATCCAGCAAGGCTGGCTGAGGAATTCTGGGAGTTGAAGTCTACATATCTTCAAGCGACCAAGATTGAGAAACACTGTTTTAATCTAATCATAAAAGCAGCAAAGAGAATACATGCTCAGTTATTTGCCTCTCTAAAAAACTCTTTCAAGAATCTGATCTCTTATCAGCTACCAGAAGTAAATTTTGACGGGACTGTACAGATCACTGCAGGGAATAGATCCAAATATCCTGGCATAACCACCTCCCACAAAGCATAGCCCTTTTTGCCCTTGCTCTATATCACAGTCAGCAAGGAGAAATGGAAAGAAAATAATAAATATGTAATCAAGTATATGAACAGAAAGATATGGGACGAAGCAGTCCTTAAGAGTTAATGTTCTTTCTGCTGGTTTTGAAGTGCCAAATGGCATATCATTCTCGATATTAAGAGTAGAAAGAGTTAGGAGTACCATTAAGGTGAACCCTGGAGATAGTTGATTACCCAAAAATGGAACTAAGTTGTACTTTAGGCCATAACTACACCATTTAGCTTTCTAAAGATATTAATTAGAGATTCAGTTTTATTGAAATAAGATACAATCTGATTTTGAGAGGAAATTTAATAAATAGAATAGAATTCTTGGCCAAGTGTGATTGGAAATACAAGGAATTTGTCTTCGATGCATAAGCTTTCAGTGTACATAAAAGCTATAAGTGATATTTTACTAGCAGGCCTTTAAGCAGCCACTTTAAAAAACAGATCAAGCATTACCTATTTAAAAATCCTGTATCCGCATATTAGTCCAAAGCCAATGAAGAGTTAATCTATAGTATTGAAGGATCACAATCATTCTGTTTGTAATAAAATTGGTGGAAATCCTACTGAATTCTATGACTAGTCTTAAGTATATCCATGAACGTCTCCTATCAACACCAATGCTAAATTTGGCTAAATGCTGTCCATCTCTTAAACTGTTTTTAAAAAAAATAAATATTCCATTTGTCTCAGAGTTCCTCATTGTATAGATGTGAAATAAACAAAATGTTTAAAAGTCATGATATCTATGTAGTTACTTACCAAGCACATCTAAATTATATTAAACCAAAATATTTTTACACTCAACAAGGCATATCACAACATTTGAGCACCCCTAACGTTTGGAAATTGAAAGTTGAAAAATTGGACACACCCAGTCCAATAACATGCAGGTGGTTTGATTTCAGTGCCATTATAATTAAACATTGACTCAGCATCTAACATCTTTTCAGTATGTGCCAATCTTTATTTGAGATGTTGCTCCAGACTGGGGAATGCTGGTTATGAGGCACCTGAGCAAGCCTCTTACTGTTCATTTAAGGCAGAATGAAACTCACTTTTCCTATTGCCCAGGATAAAATGTACATAGTGTGTAATATATCAAAGCAAGGTCAAATCTGGATATACAGTTGTATATCCATATTTATTAAGTAGGTGAATCATATTCATTTTTATGGATGGATTCTTTTTTGAATCGTGTTTTATAAATGTTATAGGCATCAATAATTTGATTCTAAAATAGTTATTTTTATATAAAATAATTATCAACTATTTATGCATATTCAAAGATTACCCCCAAAAGGTTTAATGTAAATTATTCAACTGCAAATCTTAATTCCTCAACCAATTTGCAAAAACTTCAGAACTTAGCCTCCTTTTTCTGTATTCCAGATCAAAAATATTTTGTTCATTAAAAAAACCACATAGCTGCAGCATTGTCCTTCCATTCCATAGTAGAGCAAATCACTCTTAGAGATTTTAAAAATCCCTAGAATGCTACTTGCACAGTGTTCAGCAGAGATAACACACATCCACAATCTATAAATAAACATTCTCTCACCAGACGTAGAAAGAATTCTTGTCTTTAACTTTAATGAGATTAAACAGTTTAAATCCAAGTGCATTAATTTAAAGTGGATTTAAGTGGCTGGGTAGACCAAGCTTTCCACTTATCCAGATTCCTTCTAAGAACATAACATTTCAAATAATTTAGGCAGACTGTTTATATGCAACCCTTTTTCTCACATAGATAATGAATGGCCCAAAGTTAATTTGCTTAAATGGATCTTTAGTGTCCCTCCACAAATTTATAGGCATGAAAGTACAAGAATAATATTGTGATAAATGCATCTCAATTTAAAATGATTTAATGACCCAACTGCTTGATAAAAAACAAAAGACATAAATACAAACCTGGTTAAAAACAATTACAGTCATTGGAGAGTATAAATATATATGAGGTTTAACTTTGTTAATATTAAATCATCATCATGCAGAGTTGTTACCATTTATCTTCTATGCTCTCAAAACACACCAAAATAAGCTACATATTATATGCAATGCTGAATAAACAATTTGTTTTGAGAACAGTTCCGAAATAGCATGTCCTAGACACTCAGCATTATTATTTCAAATACCAGCTATTCTATTCTTTCCTGGGATGGATAATCAGAATCTTCTTGATTTTGAATGTTTGCATGCCATCATATAAGCATTTAATCAACCAAACTGGATTTCCTTTAGATGCAATAGGCATGCCCCATGCAATTATCTTCTCCTTATGCACTATTAATGGCTGAGTAATCCAACTGTTGGTTTTGCCTTGAAGTGTATGGGAAGCACAAGCCCCAAATTTAAGAGTATTTGCAATATATTTCTAATCATTGCAAATTAAATTCAGAATTTGTCCTTGTAATAAAATCATCAAGCATACAAATCATACAGTCCACCTATGGTTAGATGTCCTGGTTCACTCCTTATTGGTTCTACACACACACACAAAAAGGACTATGCATGCAAAAACCCTAGATCAAAATGTCAAATGGGTTTGAATGCCTATATTCCATATCGGTATAATACCAGTAGCAATAACACTTAGACTTATATACTGTTTCACAGTGCTTTACAGTCCTCTCTAAGAATGTTTTCTAACTGTACCATTTCTAGAATTATATTCTTCCCTAGTGGGCTAAGCCAACATGGAGGGAAAGACACTGCCAATCCTGATTTTACAACTCACAAAGTTCCTTGTGATGAATGATACTTTCCTGCATTTCAGGCACATGGGATGAGTTTCCTGTTTATTTTTGTTCACCTAAAGCACAACAAACATATACAAGAATTGATAGACTTAAAAAATGAAATTAACTTGAAAGGAAAAAAAAGGATCTTATAGCAGCGATCTAGATTTGTTGGACTACTCTGGCAGGTGAATTGTAATTGTTGTACAATTATAGCTTTCTTGTATAAATGCTGCCTTCAGGTACATGCCTGAAGGACACCAGAATAAGTCATACAATATCATATTGGGCAATATGCCCTAAGTTCCAAATTGACTGAGGATAATAATGTTGTTAGGATTGGTCTATTGCTTTGATTTACTTTCCTCATTGGACTCTTCCTTGGCCCTTTTCTCTTATATTAAGTCATAACATTTGATTCAAGATGTGTTGGCGTGATCTTTGCTGGCATTTTTCTTATCTGATCATTCTTATTTTGAAGGTTTCTATTATTTTCATCTTATCTTTAGGTCTTTTAAAACGTATACCAGCATCTTAATAAACAGCAGGCAGGTTGACAACTATCCCTTTGCATTCATGTTTAATCTGATCAACTGCTTCTTTAATTTTCTTTTGGGAATAATAGTTCTCAAAAGAGGGAGAGGGAGGGGAGTTAAGTTCAAGATTTAAAGTCAATTTATAAATGCAAAATCTTCAAGATTCAAAAATATTTCCATGCATAAATCCTCCAGTAAATTTTGACTAGGAAAATTCTTTCCCACAGTTTCTCCAATTACAGCCAGCACTTTCTGCCACATTTATTTCTGTTAAGTAGTTCATAATCCCTGGTGAGAAATTTCAATGCACTTTCTGAAGAAGAACTAAAGGGGCATTTGCTCACATCCAGATTCTAGGATTATCACATCCCCCATAAAGTACTGTAAATCAGGAATAGTTACAGCCCTTCAGACACCTCAGAAGAACTTTCAGAAGCCCAGAGTCATGACCGTTTCTAGCCATTTACGTAAAGGCTGTAGTGTTTCTAAAATAAACTATGTTTTTGTTAAAATGAGAAAACCTAAACTTCAAAAATCTAGGGGGAAAAAACCTTAAAAAATCAGTTGTACCCATTTTCACCTTGTTCCTTATAATTCTTCTACCATATGTACAAAAACCAAGTATATGTACCCCAACCACCAAATTGGCTCTCAACCAGAAACAAAAAAGAAACAATTTAACAGTAATTTGTGGTAATTCTTTCTGGTCGAGAAGGAAGATGGTTAGATGAAGGCAAAATGTTACTTGTCCATGCATTTCTGCCTTAAGTAAATAGTTCAGGTTATCATTTTAATAATCTGAATCCATATTATACTTATTTGTTTTTTATTTATTTGTAAAATTTATTAGCCGCCCATTCTGTCACACAGTAACTCTGGGCACTAATATAGAATATTCAGTTATGGCCACATACTACTTTCTAGTTCTGCATCCTTATTTTGATGTGTCATTTTTAATCCTGCCTTTTAGTCTTTTTATTTTTGTGGTGAGTTAGGTACATCCAAGTGATTTTTCAAATACTGGAAAACACATGCTAAATCTCTTTGGCTGGTGTATTCTTTGGAATGGCAGTATTAATTAACAACAGCTTCCTCAAACTTTTGGTACGTATGTACAAGTATCTAGGGATCAACCACAAATTTTAACTGCATGGATTTATGTCCACATTTACATATTTCAATAATCTTCACTTTGTACATTGCATGTGCTTGCGTTCTATGTCGTGGGCTTGTGCCTGTGTCCTTTTCTGCTTTCAGATAGTGGTGGGTGTGCTCGCAAACGTGCTGCCATGTCTGTCAAATTAACAGCGGTGAAGAGAGTTCAAAGTTCTCCAAACCTTTTGACCGCAGGTATAGCTGTTAACCATGGAATGCCACACTTCAGTGTGTTGTCTTTTATACAGTTGTGCATTAAAACTGAATATTTGAAATGATAATCACAGATCCTTACCATTGTTATTGTGATGCATACACACACACACACACACACACACATATGTAT